TCACTTTTGAGGAAACATAGTTGTACTTTCACGCAAGAGGCACAAAAGACAATAAATTCTATTGATTACTTTGCATAATCTGAAATTTCTTCATAATTATTTAGCACATATGAATTGGTAAATGCATCATTATGTCAAAGCATAAAGGAGGATATATCTTAACTATTTATCCATGGTGCCATCTTGAAAACTATTTCTTGAAAGAGGAATATTATTCATACATTCTTGTAGAATATATAATAAGAAATATATCCTAACTACTTTGAAAGAAGCTGAGTTTGTCATTCACACACTCATGTAGAATACTCCTTCTGTGTCGAAGTAATTGAAGTTTTAGGATTGTCTTATGTTAAACTAATTACAGTTTGACAAAATTTTATGGGAAAATGTGCTAAGATCTATAATGTCAAATATATAAATACTACTTCCTCCGTCCGGAATTGGTAGATACATCTGTTTGAGCTCAACTAATTTCGAACGGAGGAAGTAACTAATTTCGAACGGAGGAAGTACTAAAGAAGAGTTTGTTGGTTTCGCTTCCATCCCTTCCATCGATATGTGTCCCCTCTCATTGATTTTTTTTTCAAACCACATGATAACCTCTATTAATTCTTTTTCAAACCGCCGCCCCACCTCCTTGTTTTGGGGAAAGAAATCGCTTGCAAAGCAATCAACATAAATCAAACAAATTGTCAGTAGCAAGAAATCCTTGCAAGCAAACAACAAAATTAACTCACATGGTTGCACATACACAATCTCAATCACATCATATCTTTCATTACCGTTAACTATATATGGAATCCCTCCCCACCACATATCTCAGCATCAACCCAATTAAAATGCTCCTACGTTGAACTACTATAATAAAGTTGCCTCGTTGCAACACACGGGTATATATTTAGCTAATATATACTCCCTCCGTCCCAAAATAAGTTATTGAGAAAAGTATACTTTTCGTCCCTTAACTTTTGTCCAAGTCTAGATTTGGTCCCTCATCTTTGAAACCGGACAACTTGCACACCCAACTACTGAAACCGGACAAGATTCATCCCTGGTCTCGATTTTGAGCGGTTTTGGTGCTGGCTCACCCCGATTTTGACCGGTGCTAACTTAAATACGTGTATATCTTTCAAATATGTGAATCTTTTGAATTCATGTACCTTTTTCAAATCTCCGTACTTTTCACGTTTGCGTAAAATTTCAAATTTACATACCTTTTTGAAATCCGCACTATTTTCAAATCCACGTACTTTTTCAAGTTCACATAATTTTCCAAATCCGCATACTTTTTCTAGTTCGCGTATTTTTCTTAAATCCACGTACTTTTTTCATGTTCGTGTACTGCTTTCAAATCCGTGTACTTTTTCGAATTCATGAACTTTTACAGAAAGTACACAGAATTGGAAAAAAAGCACTTCAAAATGGTATGCAGACCTGAATAAAATAAACGGATTTGAAGAAAGTACGTGAATTTGAGTCAAAACACGGTCAAAACCGGCAAAAGTCAGCACCAAAACCGGTCAAAACCGTGTCCAGGGACGAACCTTGTCCGGTTTTAGTAGTTCAGGGTGCAAGTTGTCTGGTTTCGGAGTTGAGGGACCAAATCTAGACTCTGCCAAGAGTTAAGGGACGAAAAATATACTTTTCTCTAAGTTATTCAACGTCATAATAGGTACATTTCATAACGAATCTAATGTGACAAATCTAGGGTTATAGATGTTGATATATTTTTGTATATATAAACTCCGATCAAACTTAGCGAAGTTTGACTTAAAACAAACACGAAACTTCAATTATTTTGAAACGGCGAACCAACCTATGGTTGGATGGTTAGAGGGACTGTGGTATCCACAGCCCACCAGGGTTCAAATCCCGGTGCTCGCATTTATTTCTGGTTTTATTTCAGGATTTCCGGTGATGCGCATTCAGTGGGAGGAGACGTTCCGTGACTTCGTAAATCTAAAGATGATATGTCAGCTCAGTCTTTTGGAGGTGCTCATAGGGGTAAAATATGCATGTGTGCCTTCATAAAGATGAGTATATGCGCGTGTATATGCGTAAAAAAAACGAAAGAAGCGAGAGGAGGAAACATCTCAACCATTTGTCCACCTCTCCCCATCCCGGACGGCCCACCAGGTTGAAATGTACACAGACGGATTCCCTTCCCGTCCTGGCAAACTCCCAGCCGCGCCCCACACGTACGGGCGAAAGCTACACCCTTGGACGGACCATTCCAACACCCCGCCCCACACGCGGTTCACTTCACCTCTCGTCGTCCCGACCACTATTCCACGGTCCAAAACACTGAAACCCATCACCCTTCCCTCGCCGCCGTCGGTCCCCGTAGACCCTGACCGCGGTGCCGTTGACCGACCGGCGCGGCCCTGCCCCCCCGCGCGTAGGACGGCTCCGGTTCCACGGCCGTGGAGCCCGCCGTGACTTCCCAGCCATTTTGGTTCGGCAGCGACTTCTCAGGCAGGCATTTTGGTTCGGCACGTCCACATCGCCGTCCTCCCTCGTCTCCCGACTCCGTGGTATAAACAACTGCCAGCAAAGATCGCGCTACCTTCCATTGCCGCTCTTTTGTCCGTTGGGCGCGTCTGTTTCCCCGGCAGGCGGATCCTCCTGGTGCCTCCAGACGGCATATATATCCGCTCTCGCCGCGCCAACGCCGAGAGGGATGCGCCATTCGTGGGCCGGTGAACCCTGAGCGCGCGGCGGCTCCACCCACCGATCACAGGAACCACTGTATACCCGGTAAAATCCCTTCATCCGATGATTCTGATCCATGAACATCTTCTCCCCTCCCCTTCAGTCGTTCTTGGTTCTTCATTTCCGTACAACTCGTCGCATTTCGTCTGTTACGGCCGCGGCTGTCGATTTTTGTTAGCCGTCAGTTCCTCTGCTCGGAAATCAGCAGTGTATCCATCTCTTTTTTTATGGATGAGAAACCGGCAATTCACCGATACCTTTTGTGTGTCAGCGAGTAATGCTTCGTAATTAACTGATTGAATGTCTCGCGGAATTTTCAGTCGGCTCGTCATTAGCATCCCGTAAGCTGCGACGAAGTGTTCCTTGGTTCCATCCGCAGCCCAATGAAACTGGCCGAAAATGAAAATTTGTTCTGAAAATATTACTACTAGTTAGGTTTTCTGAAAATAAATGTGGCAAGAGCTTCTTTCTTAGCAATTGGGACCCGTTTTAGGTGGAATGATGATCAGTCACTGCTCATGATAATTGATAAGTAAGAAGATTAAGGTTGTCAAATTTGCAGTGTTCTTTGGATTATAATATATCAATCCCTTCACTTGGAAACAACTGCCTTTGTTCATCTGTCTGTTCTTCGTCTCAGCTTTGATTTGGAGAATTCTACAGATGTATGGAGTATCTTCTGACATCTTAGTTGGACTATCTCAGCCTAGGCACAAACTTGACTCATTTGGCTTTATTAATAGTATTAGTTGTTCATCTGTTACCACTGGGTCAGGATTCAAAGCGAATAGTTGGAACTTTCTGCACCAATTATTGCTTTTTGAACAAGCCTGCTTGGACTTTCAGACCAACACCGGAAAGTCTTGTGCTTAGTACAAGAAACAACAGTCCACCATTATTATCTTTGAATCATGCAAGTAAGCTGCGACCAAGCGTGCTTGGTTCCATCCGCAGCCTAATGAAACTGGCCGAGAATGAAAATTCTACAGAAAATATTACTACTTAGGTTTTCTGAAAATAAATGTGGTTAGAGCTTCTTTCTTAGCAATTGGGACCCGTCACTGCTCATGTAAGTAAGAAGATTAAGGTTGCCGAATTTTGTAGTAGTAGTATTCTTTAGTTATATTTGATAATAATAAATCAATCCCTTCACTTGGAAACAACTGCCTCTGTCTATCTGTCTGCTCTTCGTCTCAGCTTTGATTTGGAGAATTCTACAGATGTACAGTATGGAGTATTTTCTGTCATCTTAGTTGGTCTATCTCAGCCTAGGCACAAACTTGACTCATTTGGCTTTTATTAATATTATTAGTTGCTCATTTATTACCATTGGGTCAGGATTCAAAGAGAATAGTTGGAACTTCCTGCACCAATTATTGCTTTTTGAATAAGCCCACTTGGACTTTCAGACCAACACCGCAAAGTCTTGTGCTTACAAGAAAGAACAGTCCACCATTATTATCTGCTATTCACACTGAGCTGAGCAATACAGTCGACCTTTTCTTTTATCCTTTTACGGTTAGAATGGGACAGTTGAGAGAAACAGATGGTTGTTCTATATAAGAGCGAGCATCAAATATCAAATAGATTATTCTATTTTGAAGATATCATAAAATCGATTCACTGTTTTGCCTGCTAGTGGTCTGAGCTCAAGGTACATGTTCATCTTTAATAACCATCACCTATATTTCTCCCAAAACGAAAATTCAGGATAGTCTGTACTCCAACATTGCTGATTCAATCTCTTTCTACTACGAAAATTAGTCACGACAAAATTTATATACTTGTCAGTTTACTAGCAATATATAAAATTTAAGGCTCAAATTCAACCTAGCTATGTCAGCTACAAAAAAAATTAATAATTATAAAACAGCTTAAAAAAGCATCCTATGTTCAGAAAAAAAGATAAAACTCTTAAACATTATAAATATCGATGAAAAGGGAAGCACAAGGGCCAATCTGGGATGAGAATACATAATTAATATTGTACAACTATATGAGGGGCGAGGGCAGCAACGTAGTATGCCATTTTTATTCCATTTTCTGGGAACATTTCTGTTTGATTGACCAACTTTTGTGTGATATAGCGATTGCATCGTCCATTGTTCCAAAGTAGACCATCGCTTCGTGACGTCATTTAGGTGGTGTTTTTATGGTTATATTTGCAATGTTGGAGTACTGTAAACGTCTACCCTTCATGCCCTCTCCAGCTATTTTTTTTAGAACCGTCTACTAAAATTAATTCAACTGTTTCTCCAGGATAACAAAAGGTTGTTCCAGTAGCAGAGATGGTTCATCATATATCTGACGAGGCAGCAGATGAACCTAGCATCACCACACAGACACCCTCCAATGACCCATCTCAAGCACCGCTGGTGTACAAAGTGGGCTATCCCCCTCCCAAGAACTTGGCCACAGAATTTACAGAAACATTGAGAGAGACTTTCTTCCACGACAACCCGCTGCGTCAGTACAAGGGCCAATCCGGACCGAGGAGGTTCATGATGGGGCTGGAGTTCTTGTTTCCAATATTTGGGTGGGGTAGGGATTACAGTCTCAACAAGTTCAAAGGCGATCTGATTGCCGGATTGACCATCGCAAGCCTCTGCATTCCTCAGGTATCATCAAGGATGACTAGTCCACCTTGGCTTTGGCCACTTAAACTGTGCCTGACACCGAATATTGGACTCTAATAGGACATTGGCTATTCGAAGCTTGCTAATTTGGATCCGCAGTATGGGCTTTGTAAGTTCCTCCTCTTGACTCTGTTGTGGAGATTTGATGTGAAACATTTAAGCTTGTTTTGCTATCATAATTTACTTTTGTTAGTTGGTTTCAGACTCCAGCTTCATTCCCCCATTGATCTATGCTGCAATGGGTAGCTCAAGGGATATAGCGATTGGCCCGGTTGCCGTGGTTTCTCTTTTGATAGGTTCACTTCTACAAGCTGAGGTTGACCATGTCAAAAACAAGGAGGAATACATGCGCCTCGCTTTCACGGCAACCTTCTTCGCTGGCATCACTCAAGCAGCCTTAGGATTTCTAAGGTATATGCAAACATATACTAAAAGCTTGCATGTAGTGTCGACGTGTTGGACTAAGAGTTGGTATTTATTTTGTCAGGTTAGGGTTCCTTATAGAGTTCTTGTCACATGCTGCAATTGTCGGATTCATGGGGGGAGCTGCCATTACTATTGCCCTGCAGCAGCTGAAATACGTGTTGGGTATCGCAAACTTTACAAGGAAAACCGACATAGTTTCTGTTATGGAATCTGTCTGGAGATCAGTTCATCACGGGGTATGTATTTCAGTACTTAACAGTAACATATCGATTTCATATCTTGGTCAGAACATCATGCGCTGCATTTTCTGGGATTATAAAAGCATCTTTGTAATTCCTAGAACTTAAAAATATTTTCGTTATTAGTAAAAGTATGTCATGCCGTGTTGATATGGAGTTAACTTATGTGGGGAAAAAAATTATTTTTGCAAGTGCTGAATTGTTTTTGGATGTTTGGAGCTCATTTGTTATATTCATTTGGAAGCTGGGAGGTGAATTTGTTTCCCTCTTTTTTCTGGATCTTCCTGCGCCGGGAAGGGATTAGCATAGGCTAAAGATAGTACTACTGTCTGTCTGAGTTACCTAAAGAACTGACAAGGAGATGGTTGTATATGCAGTGGAACTGGCAGACAATTGTGATTGGCGTATCTTTCCTGGTTTTCCTTCTGTTTGCGAAGTACATCGTAAGAATTTCTTTTTCCTTGTATGTTTACAACACATTTAACATTTAAAAAATTACTTATCCACTAAGGATGTTCCATTTACACAGGGAAAGAAGAAAAGGAAGCTTTTCTGGGTGCCAGCTATTGCTCCTATAATTTCAGTGATTCTAGCAACATTTTTTGTATACATTACTCGTGCCGACAAGCAAGGTGTTCAGATAGTAAGTGACTAAGTTAGTACAATTCAGGCTCAGTTGTGTGGACCATACACTGTTTTTCATGGATGAAAAATTTGTTGTCACTTGGTCATCAGGTAAAGCACATTGAACAGGGAATCAACCCATCATCAGTACACATGATTTATTTCACCGGTCCGTTTGTTGCAAAAGGTTTCAAGATCGGTGTTGTTTGCGGCATAGTTGGTTTGACAGTATGTATGCTGATATGGACACATATTTGTTTTTCCTGTCATGTGCATCTCCAGATTTCTCATCAATCTGTGTGTGTCTACTTCATCAGGAAGCTGTAGCTATTGGAAGGACATTTGCTGCTATGAAGGACTACCAGCTAGATGGAAACAAGGAGATGGTAGCACTTGGAACCATGAACATAGTAGGATCAATGACATCTTGCTATGTCACAACAGGTAGCTCCACCCTTTTTGCCGAACAGAGCTGACAGTAAACTGTCTGGAAAATACAGTGCCAAAATCTATATCCTGTATTTTCTTTTTTCAGGTTCTTTCTCACGTTCGGCAGTTAACTTCATGGCTGGCTGCAAGACTCCTGTATCCAATGTGGTTATGTCAGTGGTGGTTCTTCTTACCTTGTTGGTCATCACACCGCTATTCAAATACACACCGAATGCAATCCTAGGGTCGATCATCATTTCTGCGGTGATCGGCCTTGTGGACTATGAAGCAGCAATTCTCATATGGAAAGTTGACAAATTGGACTTCATTGCTTGCATGGGAGCATTTTTCGGTGTTGTTTTTGTATCCGTTGAGATTGGCCTCTTGATTGCTGTAAGGACCAATGCATTATCTTTGATGAAGCATAATAATATGTTCATGTCTTTTTGTGGAGACATAACTAGAAATTACTTGTTTTTTCTGGATATTACCAGGTAGCAATCTCATTTGCCAAAATACTTCTTCAAGTAACAAGGCCAAGGACAGCCCTACTTGGAAACCTTCCCGGCACCACAATATACAGGAACATCAGCCAGTATCCAGAAGCAAAACTTACTCCCGGGGTGGTGATTGTGAGGGTTGATTCTGCTATTTATTTTTCCAACTCTAATTACGTCCGAGAAAGGTAAAGATGGTAAATTTATCACACAATATGTTTTGAATTTGAAGAATGGTAAAATATACATGAATTCAGTAATTTCAGCCTCATAGGCCTGATATCTTGTGCTCCATGGCAGAATTCTTAGGTGGCTGACAGACGAAGAAGATAGAGCTAAAGCACTGGGATTGCCTAAAATCAGTTCCTTGATCGTGGAAATGTCGCGTGAGTAGAATTATATGTTAGTCTGAGAAATTTCAAGCTATTTTTTTTTCCAATCATTGTACTCATGCAGTCCGGTGAAAATGCTGGTGCAGCCGTTATCGACATCGATACAAGTGGCATACACGCTCTTGAAGATCTATACAAGAATCTTCAGAAAAGAGATATGCAGGTACACCCATTCAAGCTACATAGACTTTCAGAGAAACTATAATCTTGTTTTGCTGGGCCACTGATAATGTTGTTTGTATTGTTGTGTATTTTGGCAGCTCATTCTGTCGAATCCTGGTTCCGTCGTCATAGAAAAACTGCAAGCATCCAAGCTCACCGAGCACATTGGAAGCAGTCATATATTCCTCGCAGTCTCTGACGCTGTGCGATTCTGTACGACGAAGTCGATGCAGGAACCGTGAGCGAAGTATTTCGGAGGAATGGCTGGTGCTGCCATGGTGCTAGTGTTGATAATAGTTTTGGTGCTCCCTGTGATCTAAGCTGGGCAGCGCAAGATGATGTGGCTTTGTGGCCGATGTAGAAACATATAATAAGTTCAGGCAATCACCGGAGCCTCTCCGGTTTACTAAATACTACTCCCTCCCTCCGTTCACCATTATAGGATGTTCTAACTTTTTTCTGAAACAGATGTATATAGCCGTATTTTAGTGTATTTGTTCACTCATTTCAGTCCATATGTAGTCCATATTGAAATATAAAAAATATCTTAATAGTGAACGGAGGGAGTAGAAGATAAGGTTTAGAAGTGCTCCTCTACTGAGTATGAACGAAGTAAATTATGGAACTCGCGGCGGATCTTCCTCAAGTATGTACAGATATAAATAAAAGATTGACGTGGGATCTCGGTGCATTTTATTTTCTTGATCAAAAGAGAGGCCCCCCTCTCCGATTTCACTAAGAGAAACCAAGGTTCACAGCTACTACTAGGGTTTTTGTTACCCCGCACACGACATACTATCTTACATGACCGGGGATTACGACGAACCCCAGCCCAGCACCTCAAAAGGATCGTGCAAGATCTCAAAATAAAAGCAGAGCACCCACACAACACTTCAGACACAGCATACAGTAGTTGGAAGCAAAGCCTAGCACATCATAGCTAAAGCAAGAACTAGATAACGGCTGAGGCAGCAGCAACGACGAAGAAGGTAAGCCACTGGGAAGACGATCGGGACCTCAGCGCATGCTCATACATCTCAAACATCGACGGATGCAATGTTGGTGGCATCGTTGCAGAACCGGCCGCACGCATCGCCGCAGCGCCCCACGCCGACTTTCGTGTCTTCGCCAAGCTCAGCTGATGACAAGATCAAGATATGTGCAATGCTCATTCCAAACCGAAAAAAAAACTTTTCCCTCTTATGATAAATTGAAAGTTATATATACAGATGATGAGTTAATTCAGATACTACCTGAATTGACGTTGTCACAGACTGAGAGCCTACATCCTAATTTGCAGTACTCAATGGCGTCTGGTTCTTCTTCCGCAACAGCAGGAGCAAGCATTAGTCAACCAGCCGTTAATTGCAATTTCTATGCATCTGGGAGCAAAATGATGTAGAGAAAACAGGAAGGGTGGCTTGGGTTCACGTACCAGCTGAACCGGGGAGAAGGTTGAGCTTAGGGTATTCCCTGGGGCATGTGCTGTCCCTTGTGAGCACACAGCCACACATTTTTGAGCAGGGAGTACTGGGGTGCACAAGAAGGCACACGTTGTAACAGTTTCTTGACCTGGTGTCTCTGCAGCAGCTCTTGCCCTCTGCTACTTGGATTTGTCCCTGGACAAGCAGTCCCAGTATCAGTATGAGTGCACACATGATCACGCTCTTGAAATGCTTGCTCTCCATGGCTGCCTTCCCTGCTGCGAAAACGCACAGGAACAAGACTCGTATATATGGCCCCAATTTATAGGAGACGATGCTCCGCATGGGCAGTAATTGTTGAGAAGTGATATGCATGAATGAGCCGTGCTCCGCTGAGAGCCACGTACACGGTTGAGATCGTCTACGTGTGCGCTGCGTGCCCTAGGCGATTATGCGGTGCCCGCTAACTCCTACCTGCCTCGTGCATTAAGTTTTCACGTGCAGCTCTTGTGCCATGGCCGACTAGGATGTTTTTAGGTGTATTTTACTTTACTCTTGTGTTATGGAGAGATACGTGGCCACTCGACCGGTTGTCCTCGTCGACGGTACCTCGCCCAGAAGATGCCCACTCTCCATCCTCATTAGCTTCCGTGTTCTTCTTCTTTTTTCTTTTCTCTTATTTATTTTTCAAGAAAACTTCCGATATATTCATCTGCAATCATGGCACTACAACAAACATCTTAAATAATAAAAATTATATCCAGATCCGTAGACCACCTAGCGACGACTACAAGCATTGAAGCGAGCTGAAGACGCGCCGCCGTCATTGCCCCTCCCTTGCAGGAGCTGGACAAAACTTGTTCTAGTAGACAGTCGGAAAATAGTCGTACTAAGGCAACCGCCGCCGATGAAGAGAGTAGTGTAGATCGAAAGAATTCAATCTGAAAACACATGAACATAGACGAAGTATGATCAGATCCGAGCATATCCAGCAAGGACAGATCCGCCGGAGACACACCTCCACATGCCCATCGATGATGCTAGACACACCATCGGGAGGGCAGGCTGGGAGAACCTTATTCCATCTTCAGGGAGCTGCTGTTGTCTCGTCTTCTTGAATAGGACACAAACTCTAACAAAATACGAAGGAACAACTGAAAACAAAGCCCTTCCCCGACAAGGGCCGAGATCCACCACACCACCATGGCCCTAAAACCATCGCAGACGACACGTACCGACGGCAGTACCGGCAGGAGGTGGGGGAACCCTAGACCAGCAATTCTGTGGCCCAAGTTAGCACCTAGGAAAAATTCTTCTTCTACTACTTCTTCTCTCTTAGGCTGCCCGTAATGAAAGTATCATAGATAGTATCATGCATGCCAACTAAGCAATTTTGATGAAGTGGCTTAGAATTAAATGAAAAAAGAGAGGCTTGAGTATCATATCATGATACTGTATCATATTAAATGATGTGCTACTTCGTATCATGCATGGCAATAAATGTAGTCCTCTATGATACCAACATATGATACTATGCATTAGGAGTGTAGTATCATAGACTAGTATCATATACATGATACTAGTATATGATACTCCCCATTACAACCTACCTTATATGTTCCTCCTGTGCCTTCGTTTACGGTTCATGAGTGTGTGCTGGACATCAACTAGGCGAGCAGAGCGAGTACTTGTCCTTATTTGATTATTTATTTATTTATTTGCAGATCTGTTCGGTAAATGGATTTAGTTCTGCTGTATTTGTAGATCTAGTTAGGATGCATTTTGTGAAGCCGAAGCAATTATCTTTTTGGTGATTTTTATTTTATTTTATTTTGAAACTAGCAAAGTGGCCCGCTCAATGTGCGAGCTAGAAATACCTTTAACTATTTATTTCTATTTCTAAATATTGTTAATCTATCACAACATGATAGGTTTAGTGGTCAACGATCGTAAATAATGTACATATTGTTGAAATATGGAAAATGCTTGATGTTTGTAGTGCAAGGAAAATGTTAAAGTACATATTAATTTTTTTTTTGAAAAACTGGCTCCTCCTTTATTCAATCAGCAGAGTAGCATCGTTTACACAAAGGGAAATCTAAGATAATAGGGGAAGGGTACTTAGCTAGCCTTAATACATTGTGTTTAGTTAGTAAAAGGTGTCTGAAAATAACATTTTGGAGCATTGGTTTTATTTTTTTGTTACATTTTACAGGGTTGTCATCTGGTGATGAAATTTTGCAAGCTATCAAAACATCTGTCAAAGTTTCACACACATTTTTTTTTAGAATTTTCTGTTTTTTCCATTTTATTTTGATTTTACTGTTCATCCGAGCTCACATGAGCTCGGGACTAGAAAAGCACTTTTGCTTACATGTATTACATGCTTATAACTCAAGTGCCACATCGCATCAGAATTTAAGATCTACAAACAATCATGAAGAAACTATGACACATTATTTGCAATATGCTCTGAGGAGCTTAATGGAGATGCATAATGCAAAAGCATGCCATGCATCCAATTCTTCTTCTCTTCAAATCCCCCTTTCCCTCTACCCTTTGAAAATCCTACAACACAAACTTGAAGAAGCATACCACTAAATCAAGATGTTGCAACATTTCAACACTACTACCCCAAACTTTCTCCCTCCAGCCACAGAGTTAGAGAAGTATATATCGGATGTGATATAAAATACCTTTGTACATACAGTGATTCGTTTATTGCATGGGCTGAGCATGATCGTGCCAACATGGAACTGAAACCTCGGCTGCGAATAAAAGCTAGAATCGACGCAATGTGTACAATAAATCCGCTGTCGTTTTGAAGGACTAAAATCACTAAGATTGGCCATGAGCTTATCATTTTCTTCTCCACTTTGATCTCTTGTGCTCCTTCTTGACATTACGCTTGCTATAGTTGTAGCGCATATTAAGAAATACTCTACAAAAAATTTTAGTCTATTAAAGAAATTGCAAAAGCCCCCGCAAAAAAAGGAAATTGCATAAGCTCAATGGAATAGTTATAGTTAACATTTCTTTAGGACAATAATAATCCAGAAATACCCTCAAGCAGTCGCAAGTTTTTTCTATCTACTAGTGGGGAACATTGGAGTAGGTTTTGCAGTTGTTTGTGTGTTTTTTAGAATAAGTTGTTTGTGTTTGTTTGGTTGTCATGTTTTTGTCGTGTTTTCAACATGAATGGACTTTCCCATGTTGTACCAATGTTCGAGTGTGCTCATGTACCGGTATTCTCTAGTTTTTCTACTAATTAACCTTGAAACAATCCGACGGTTTCACAAAAAAAGTTAGTCCCGCATGAAGTTAAAGCCAATACCATCATGCAAACTAATTGAGCAAGACAATAAAAAAAAGGAGAATTGGACATGCAAATGATTAGAGTTAATATTGCAAGACTGCATTGACACGTCGTAGTGACGACCTCTACACGACCACACGGTCCTGATAAAACTGATGTGCACTTGATGGGTTTCCTTCGATCTTGGCAAAACCGATGGACTCATCGCCGATGGCACCCTCTGACATCCGCAAGCTGCATCGCCAATGTCTGCAACTCTGTCATAGTGCATTTTTGTGTGCCATCGGCTTTGTGCGGTTTCATCGTTCACAACCACTACACCATCAATCATGACTACCTTGACCACGACTACATCATCATGATCGGCTACCTCAACATCGACATACATGGCTATGTCTATAGCTACTCACCGGCAACAAATCCAGTCAACAGTGTCCATGTCGTCACTAACGTCCATGCCACTCCCGCTACGACTGCAAGAGAAATAGAGGAGAGACAGGGA